TATAAATTTTATAAAGATAATAATTAAGTATTCTGTTAGAATTCAATAATTATTCTAATTATATTTTAGATTTTTTATATTTAAAATGAGATCTTTATTCTGTATTCGATGAAATAGGATAGGGATGAAATCATTTAGGGATGAACGAGTTCAAGGATCACTTTAACAGGTTGTACCATTAGCAATAGAGGTTGTATTTAAGAGTTTTAAGAGTTTTAGTCAAATGTTTTATAAGATAGTATAGATTTGCAGTTTGTTGTTTTATATGATTCAAAAATCATGTATTCACGAAAACGACAACACTCTTCAAAATAGAAATCAAGTTTGCATGCATATACCGGATTTGTTTGGTTTCGTCTGGTCTATATGTAAAAAAAATGTCAAAATAACTATAATCCTCATAACCATCTTCCAACCCAAAATCCGAATGAGGCTCCAATCCATTATCCAACTACGGATGGCAAAACAAAACCGAAAGCAGCAGTAAAAACCGAAAATTTCGGGTCAGGTTCAGGGAATACCTTTTTTTAAAGTATCTAATATTTATATACGACAAATGCAACAAATAAACTCACACACCCTCTTCAACTTTGGTGAGGTTTGAACTCCCTACTTTTCTAGTAAGCCAAAGACTACGATACCACTAGGCCAAAGACCCTTTGATGTTCAGGGGCTACTTCTCAAGGACGGGAACAGGAATGGGGACAAATTCAAAGATTTTCTTTGTGACGGGGACGGTCATCACCGGCCCGACCCAATTATAATGTGTATATATCACTAAAAACAACCATCTCTATTATTAAATTCTTCTTGTAATTTTCTTCTTCTAAGCAATGGAAAACTTGTAATTCCCGTTTTTTTACTAACAATTTTTGGGTCAATTTTGATTTCAGGTTCAAGATAACCAACGATGAACAAGGAGAGCAACGGAGAATGAGGGTTTTTACCCTTCAACGGGTTCCTCAACAGGGATTCAGAAAACCGCGGGGACCCAACGAGAATCCCCATTAAGATCCTTATGAGGATCGAAGCGGTTATGAAGACGGTTTTAATTATCAAGCTTTGGGGATACTAATAACCAGCCCGAACCCAACCCGTCACCATCCCTATAACCAACAACTTTCATCCGCCATAAATTGGAAAAAGAATGTTTGCAACACTAATTCTTGAAGAATAAAGAATCACATAGGGAGAAGAAGTTGCAGGAATCATACTAAAATTTGTATTGTAGTTATGCAATGCAAGCAATATACAGAAGCAAATGACCAAATTACATTTACGCATCGGGCAAATTCCAGCAAATCTTGCACGCTGATGATGATCTACGACTACATCCATATCCACAAAATAACAAATACCACCTGATCATGCAATAAAAACAGATCCCAGAAAGATATGTCGATATGAATTGAAACCGATGTAAAAAAATCTAAAAGAATGAGAGTCTGGTGTAGAAATCCAGCAGGTTGAAGAGTCGATATGAGCAGAGAGATGGATACAGCGTTTTGACGTCGATTTTTCAAACTTGTGTGCTTGAAAGGCACCTCCATTGCCCCAACTGAGGTCCCCTTTCTAACACCATTAGCAGGCCTGCATTGTTTGCCACTGCACTAAAAATGTGCCTGAAAAATGGCCAAAAAAGAAGAATAAAACGATAAAATGTTCAGAAATAGAATGGGTGAATAACTTGGAGCTATCCCAGTCCTTATCGCTACATCCGTCCAATTCTGTTTTATATTTCATACAAACAACTAAGAAACGATTAAAATTGCATGAAAAGATATACAGTAGCCAACCATTGCCATTGTTTCTCCGAGGTTTGATATTCGATATGTTGGATGTCAGTATATATGCTTGTAGGGACAGGTTCAAATGAGAACCGTAACTTTTTTGAGAACTTGGGAATCAACCATTCATGTTTTATGCATTATGAATGTCAGGGTTATTCATAGATATTCATAATGAAAGTACATGATAGTTGTGATAAAAAATGCATTACATTTTCAGGGTTATTCATGATGAACACGAAATAGTTGGTTTATAGGTTCTCAATGATTCTCAATTGAACTTTACGCTGTGCTTGTAAATTCCTAATCATTACTCACTTTACTTTTGAACCTAAAATTGTTTGAGATGGGACCCACAATCAAATCTCCATTCTCAATTCTCTGTTTCATGGGTCCAGTCTCAATTCCCTCATCATATGACACAAAATGAGAATGTTGAATGTTAAATGACCCAAACGAATAGCACCTTAACGTTTTCAAACGTGGGTGATGTGAAGAGAATGAACAAGTGATTATGGACCCCATCTACCTGACCGAGAAGAATTAAAAATGGGACACACAAAATAGAGATGATGAAGAATGGTCGGAAATCGAATAACAAATGTAATCCAAGTTTTGAAACTCAAATCTGGCATCAGCTCCAATTTTCATCATTATGAAGTCATAGTTGCATAATGTGCACTACAAAATATGAAGCTACTTCCAATGATCCACTCAAAAGGGTATTAAACTATGTGAATAAAGTCAAACGACTCAACTTAGAACTTGTATCAGTCGAGAAAAAATATTATTTGTACTTACTGGTTCCGTTGTGCTCTCTTCCAGTAACCAAATGTTACGATCCACTGCCAACGAGCAAAAGATGACAAGATAAGAAGCAAGTTCACAACTTGACGCTAAAATAGAAAGTGATTAAAGCTGTTTAGTGTTCAAATAAGACAATCCAAACTAATTTTGTTATTTATGTCAAATCATATAGGTTTCAACAATAATACATTAAATAAGAACGTTGCTAAGATATATTTTAAAAAGCTTAGCATATAATAAGGCATCCAAAATATAAATTTAGTAGGTGGTGCAAATGCTAGCCCTAATGCCCTGGATAGCATCAAAACTATGCACACATACATGTACACTCGCAAGATATCTAGGATTCACTGTATCCATTTGTTGTAAGCCACCGTATATATTTTGAAACTACAATGAGGACACAAGTTTCCCTTGGTAGAGTTGGTTTGCAAGGTTTTTCTTCCACCCCAAACCCAAGTTTGAATCCTGTTAGTGTCATTTTCTTAGTTTTTAGCTTTTAATTTCAGATCTATTATGTTTCTAAAAAATATTTGCAATAAAAGACTTGAACATATAACCTCACATATGAAAAGCAATGAACTAACCAACAGAATGATGATTTTGTGAAAAAGTATCCCTATATTTATTTCTTATAGTCAAATGGTGCCACCACTTGAAAAAATTTCTAGCTCCATTTCTACTATAATAGGGCAGAAAATTATAGCAGAAGCACATACTTCAAGTTCAAGCTAAAGCATCTATCACAAGCTAACGACTATCAATATTAAATCAGTTCATATGCAATCAACTTGGAAATGTTAGAAAAATTGATTACATAAATCTGGAAAAAACTAGCAAGAGAGGTTCTTGCATATTGGGTTGAAGTAAGTTTAAAAACAGAAGTGAAAAGGAAGAGGGATATTGCATAGAATGAGCCAAGAAAGAACAGAAAATTATAGTCAGACCCATCTCATATTGCATAAAATAACCCATTTCGCATAACGGAATAAGATGATTCTAACAAATACATGAATGATGCTTCAATGCAGGGGAAGATTTAAGAATGAAATAATCCAGTGGTTGCAGCCTACTGGTGGTGTCATTGCATGTTTATTACAGGTTGCAAGTTCAATTCCCTTTGCTTCTTTTTTAATTTTTTCGGTAACAACAGCAGAGAAGTAGCAAAAACCCACGTTAATGTCATTTTTGTGGAAGATATATTATGCTAATGACTTTGTGCCCCGCTTGGAAATTTTTCTAAGATCCGCCTCTACTTCAATAATGAGTGAAAATATGTACCAAAAGCATATGATTCAACAGTTACTTGTGAGTTGTAACCAACAGTTAGTTGCGAGTTGTAACCAGCATGAAAATATTACTAAACCAAATGCATAAAAAAAATCCACAGAACATTACAACTCGACACATATGTGAAGCATGAGTTTGGTTCCAATCAATTACCTTGACCACCGAGAAGAAGGAAGAGCCCGCACCACCAGATGGCTTCTTTACGGGCATCTTGCTTGCCGGTGACATCTCTTTGCACAAATGTTGAGCAATCTCTTTCAGCAATACCAATTGAGCCTTATCTGTCCGCATAGAAATAAGTGCCTGCCTCATGGATTCCCTATCTGCTTCAAGTGCATGAAGCCTCGCATATAGCTTCTTGACTTCTGGATCTTCAATACCAGTAACAGATGATGATTCTTTAGGAGAACTCATAAAATCATCATAGGTGCCAATATTAGCCTTTGGGTCATTATTTCCATTATGTATAGAGTCGATTGTGTAAATCCTGTCACTCATCTCATCTCCAAATTCCGATACAGTATCCACCTTTTTGAAACTAGGGAAATCATCCGTCTGTGAGAACTCCATCTTCCTCGTGTTGCCACCAACTCTAGGAGAATCTAATACCAAGTCTTCTTTAACAGTTGCAAAGTATGATCCAACACTATCACTAGAAAATCTCCTCGAGTGTTTCTTCATTGGAGAATGACCAACTATCACCTTCTCAAGAACCGGTTGACTATGCCTAGGACTTCTCTCCAATTGATTGATCCTTTCTTCTATATCCTTAAGAGAACGCGGAGTTTCCCCAAATGCATACTTCTCTATATCAACTGTTTCATTATCATTCTCTTGATATGCATGATTTTCATTCAAATTGCATTTCAGAGGAGGGTAATCATATGATGGGAAATCAAATTGGCTCTCTAAGTTTGTGGCAACACTATTATTGCGTGTAATGAAGCTTTTCTCTCCGTCTGCTTCAGATTCCGTGAGACCAAAACTAATCATCCTGTGTTTATATGCCTGAACCTCACAAGTCAAAGATTGAATAGATTGTTCCCTCCTATACAACAGCTCCTCCAATGCCATAAGCTCCTGTTGATCATGAGCCATCTTTTCTTCAGAAAAGCGCTTAAATTGTCGAGCTTCCATCTCAATTTCAGCCTTTTCTCGCTGTAACTTCAAGATCATAGACATGGCCTCATTGGCAGCTGAGGCAGAAGCATACCTCTCCTCTTCTAAATCTGCAATCAGATCCTGAATCGTGCTTTGTTGGCTGCTAACCATCTCACGCAACACGGCACATTCATTTTCGATTTCGACACGAGCCACTTTAGGAATTAGAAGACCTGGTATGAAGAATTTACCACCACCTTCATCATATTCATCTACCTTTCGTTTCACCGAACGTAGCCATGTCCCATAATAAGATCCATCTGTTGCGTCACAATACCTACAACCACATTCACAACATTTGACCAAACTGGTCGAAGGATGCATGCTTTCTGACTCCATATTTGGACCGAACGTACATAAAAATCCGTCAAAACACCAACAAAAGCAAAGCCAGAGATTTCAATCCACCAAAAGACCCAGAAACCACACCCCCTTAAGATTAAACCGTTTACGATCTGACTTTTCCCTCTTCTTAATTCCCCAGAAAACCATCAACCGGCCAAAACCAAACCGAACACCAATAGGACCCTGTATATTCATTGGTTACAGTTACAATCAGTATAAACAATTTCTTCGCAAACATATGATTTAATAATTATGATTACGATTACAGTCACGAACATTATTTGAACAAATTGTTGATATTATGAATCAAATTGAAGATTAGGTGAATGAATTTACCGTGGAATACAAGGGCCCATCAGCTAATGATGACGATGTTATTGACAACGTAGATTAGATGTGAAAATTTTCCAAGAAAGTTAAGTAACAATAAAGAGGGAAAGTGGGGGAGGGGAATTCTTGAGGGAATTGTGCAAAGGGAGGGAAAAGAGGAAATTTTGGGGGTTGAGAGACAAAGAAATTTGAAACCCTAGATTTATATTTTTCTGTTCTCAAAATTCGAGTTTCTCGCCAAAACTATTAATTAAAAACTATTATGTATAAGTATTTAATAAAAATTCTTAAAAATTATTTTTTATACATAAAATATTATTTATTAATGTATGTTACTTAAAACTCAAGATTACAAGTAGATTGTGCATAAGTATAACTCATTAAAGCTTTATATCTGAATTCGTGTAACTAACTGTAGATAAACATAATCAAATACAGGATAAATATCTTATTTTAAATATAAAAAATCTAAAAAACAGGATAATCATTGAGTTTTAATATAATACTTAACTATTATTTTTATAAAATACTAGAAGGGTACTCGCGCAATGCAGCAAGATACATATTGATTTTAATATTTCATTTTATTCTCTATCTCAGTCGATGTTATAATATGGTCGTATGTGATTTTTAGAAAGCTGTTATGTTTTTATTTTTGAATAAAATATAAGTTTGAAAATATCATAAAATTTTGACAAAAATATGTCGATAATAGTAATTAACTATTTAAAATTCCTCATTTTTTGTGGAATTTTTTAATTCAATTTTTTTAATAATTTAATAGGCACAGTAACGAAGTAATTTATATTTGGTTTAATTATATAATTTTCTTATAAATATAATAATTATTTATTTTGTTATAACTCGATAATATGTCTTGATGCATTGCACGAGTATCCTTCTACTATATATAGAGTCAGGTTTCAGTGATAAACTTAAGAATGAATCATTACTCTTTGATGTATATTAGGATGACATGTGTTTAGATGAGATGCATCGGATCAATCCTCGTATTAAATGTGATTCATTGGTGGGTTTGAGATTAAAAAAAATCAATGATCTAGATCCATTCTTACGCTTTTTAACTTAACTTTCCTTTCCACACGATTTTTCACGTACATGCATATATGTACATAGCCAAAGGTTCATTTGATAAATAAAGAGGTTATCATAACCCTTTATCAGGTCAAGATTTGCGGCTTTAACTCTGAAGCACAAGATAATTCCTCCTATAAGTATGTGAAATATAAATGAATAGTTTCGTAACTTTTACAAATATGTAGCAAAACAAATGTACATGTGAATCCGTGTAATTCATATATTAACTAATTCACATATGAACTAATTAATAGATACACATATAAACTAAGAGTTCACATATGCACTTGTTTGCCGTCTATTTGTAAAAATTACAAAATTACCCCTTTATTTTGTCGGTTGACCCATCAAAGCCGCAGTTCTTGACTAGTTTTAACCGTATGAAAGGCTATGATCATTTTTTTTACTTCTTAAATATTTACCATTTCTCAAATGAATCTCTTCCTATATACACGTATACGTATATACAAGGGTTGTTTTATTGGTTCCCCGTTAAGTCTTGTGTGGATTGATTGTTTGATAGGGGTTTATTCATCAATGGATTGAACGTGTTTTTTAATTGAAAATGACAATTTATGTTATCTTATATGCTTCTCTCCTAAATAACGAAAATAGTCATATGTCCAAAATTGACAGATCTACAATTTTGTAAGGAGTCAAAGTGTAAAAAAAATCTGAACCAGGTTATATTTTGTGTCTACAATTAATTTACATTTTTGGTCCCTACAATTATGAACCTGGTTTAAAAACTTTTTTTTTACACTTTGACGCCTCTACAAATTACATATCTATGGCTAATTTTATTATTTATAAAAAAAATGACTAAAAAAGGAAATCCATCTTGAAAAATGACATTTTAATTGAAATAGAATTTAGTGGATTAATTTTGATTTAACATGATTGGACGTCCCTTAATAATTCCAAAGGAAGAAAAACGAGGTTGACTCGTAATGACACGGTTCAAAAACGTACTGCTTTGACTTCGTATAGCTGATTTATTGGAAATTAAAATTAATTTAATAATTAAAATATTATCGAAAAAGAAAAAAAAATATTCATGATAAAAAAACTAAAAAAGGTTGTCTAATTCTAATATTATATAATACTAGAAGGGTGTTTGTACAATGCACGGAAATTATCTCGATTTTAATTTTTAGTTTTTATTTTTCTTCTCTATCGATATAAATATGATTGTATGTGGTTTTGAAAAAACAGTAATGCTTTTATTTGTAAATGAAATATAAATTTGAAAATAATATAAAATTTTGAAAAAATAAATCGATATTAGTATCAAATTAACTATTTAATAGTTCTCGTTTTTTGGTGTAACTTTTTTAATTCAAAATTTCATTATAATTTAAATTAGATTTAGTAACAAAGTAATTTATTTTTTGTTTAACAATATAACATTTATAAAGATAATAATTGAACATTTTGTTATAACTTAATAATTATCTTAATTAYATTTTAGATTTTCTATATTTAAAATGGATGTTTATCCTGCATTTGATTATGTTTATTTGCAGTTAGTTACACGAATTTAAATATGGAGCTTAACAAGTGTACTTACGTATAATTTACTTGTAATCTTGAATTTTAAGTAATATGCATCAATAAACAGTACTTAATGCATAAAAATGGTTTTTAAAAGTATTTACCAAATGATTTATAATATAGTATATAGATAATTAAAACAATTTATTAAAATATTTAATGGTAATAAAATAAGTAGATAATAAAATTATCAATTGATTAATAGTGTTTCTTCAAGGTATATTCACATGTGAATATTGTATTAAGAAGAATATTCAAAGTACTGTTTATAGAGGCGATGATAAGATATATTACTTTTATCTTCTCATATAAATTAGAGAGGAACTAAGGTGAACTATATTTTTGTATTCATTAATGAAAGTCCTTAAACAATATAAAATTTAGGTCCCAAAATTTTTGGATACTCTGTTCAAAATCACACATTTAACATACTAAATAACGGTCCTGAATTCAAAGACCCTGCTAAAAAAATCCAAAAAAATATGGACATGATGTCAAACAAAAGAGAATAAGATGTTTATTTAAATGCAACGAGTTACATATCGATGTTAATGTTTCGTTTTATTCTTATCTCTATCGATACCATAATACGATTTTATGTGGTTTTAAGAAAACGATAATGTTTTTATTTTTGAATAAAATATAAATTTGAAAATATCGTAAAATTTTGAAAAAAAAATAGCATAATATAATTTTTAAAAGTTTAATAACGAATCTATTTGTTTTTTGTTAATATAATTTTTTATAAAGATAATAACTGAATATTATGTTATAACTCAATTATTATCTTAATTATATTCTAGTTTTTTATAATTAAAATGAGATGTTTATCATGTATTTAATTATGTTTATCTTCAGTTAGTTACACGAATTCAAACATAAAGCTTTAATAAGTTGTAGTTACGCACAATCTATTTGTAATATTGAATTTTAAGTAATATGCATCAATAAACAGTACTTTATGCATAAAATTTATTTTTTAAAGTTGTTATCAAATGCTTTATAATATAGTATAGATAGTACAAAAATAAATATAACTACTTACTACTTATTTATTAAGATGGAACGAGGTTGTTGCAACCGCTTACTGTGTGGATAAACGAAGTAAATTGCATTGTACAACAATATATATATATATATATATTCTGATAAACTTGTTTTCCAAACCCAAATTTAAAAACCTACGGTATAAATTTGTTTATTTTTATTTTGAATCTTGACACGTCGTTGATGAACGTTAATACGTTTTTAGAAACATGATACAAAATAGATGTTTTTAAAGATAAAAGTTTAGAAAAACTCAATAAACTTTTTATATTCCAAACGATTTTAGTCGATAGATATTTTTTTTAATAGATAAACATTAAAAAAATTATCGTTTTAAATGATTAGATCCTCCAAGTTTTTTGGATAAATAAATCATTGAACTTTTGGAAATTAGTTACCAATATTTTTTTAACCCAAAGCCTGTTAGCACCCGTGCTATTTCGGTTAATCGTTTAAGAGTGTAGAGTTGTTTTAGCAAGTCAGACAGTGTCCAACTATTACTGAATGTTTGTGGTTTTTGAATCAAGAGTCATGGTAGATTTAGGATGAAAAAAGTTGTGTTGGAGGTCATCTGAGACATTAATAGACCTCCGATGCAAGTTAAATCACTCGAGAAGTCGCAAGTCAACTTAAAAACACAATACAGTGTCAAACTAGTTGTCAAGTAAGTTAAACGCACTTCAAAACTAGTGCTAGGAATTTTGGGCTCGGGCTAGTTTCCACGCTAATTTAAACTAGTGTAGAGGTCTGACTTGCACAAATAGACAAAAAAAACCGGGGTTTTCCACATTTTAGGCATAACTTTTTCATTTTTACTCCACAAGGGTAGCAATGGCATTGAACACGAGGAGTTTGAAATGGCGTAGGGTAAATGAACAGTAGAACTTGATTTAGATTTTTTCTTCGAAAACTTTTTAGCTGGTTACAAGTAGTTTTTTAGGATTAAAATGATATGGATAACCAATTTCTAAAAACTTGATAATTTATTTATTCATTTTTTTTCCACATGATTTAACCATTAAAAATAGAAATTTTCTTTTTTTTTAAATTATAAACTATTTTATGGCTTTTAAAATAAATTTGGAATCACATGAGATCAACTTGTTTTCATAAAATCATTTTTTACATTTAAAACTTCACAGTGTTTTTTCAATGAAAGTTCGGTTTTTTTACCTTTACAATGTTTTTTTATAAAACTTCAAGTGTAAAAAAATAGTCTCACAAATTTTACGAAAATAGTCTGGGTTCATGTGAATTTAATTCTTTAAAATATGCTTTTCAAAATAAAAATAGGTAAACTGAAGAAATTATCGCGCCAGGTAGGGGTCGAACCTACGACTTTCTGCTTAGGAAACAGACGCTCTATCCACTGAGCTACAGGCGCTTTTGTTTGTTTTTATATTGAAATAAATTCATATAAATGAAGTCAAGTAATTCAATCTATTCCAAATTCCAATAAAAAAGCGGCAAATGATGGTAAATATGCTTATAAAATATGCTTTTCAAAATAAAAATTAAATAAGAATCCGTTTTCAATTGCTATGACCAGAGGTATAAATAATGCGAATCGGACTCAGTATTAATATGCTCAACTCGAATTTGATAATTATTTCTCAAGCTTGAACTCGACTCAAAAACTCATGAGTAATTAAAAACTAAACTCGACTGTAATTTTTTAAGCTCGAACTTGAACTCGAATCAAGCTCACCCATCGAAATGTATGAAATTTTAGAATCTTCTCTTATAAATTATAAAACTTAAAGGTATTATCTTAAGTTTTAAAAAACTAAAGGGATGCACCTCAAACTTTAGCAAAGTTATAAACTCCATTCACCCTCTCTCTCTCTGGTGGTATCGTTTCTCGTGGACTAAGGTCGAAGTTCAATTGAGGAAGTGAGAAGAGGAGTCGTTGTCGATTGGGAAATTAGGTTAGGTTTAATTAGAACTTAAAAGAAAAAAAAATATAAATTATTGATTAAAATTTCGAGTCGTCGGACAGGTCGGAGGGAAAGTAGGATACCAAACCCGATCCTACTTACCGGTGGAAAAAAAATCGGGTTTTCGGGTCGGGCTTCGCGTTTTTCTGTTCGGGTTGGGTCGGGTATTTCGGGTATTACTCACCCCTATACAAAAACATTGTTCAAAGTTTGAGCATGCAAAAAATTATGGTTGTTATTTTGGATCTTATTAGAACTAAACCAAACAAACCAACCCAATATATTTCAGTTGTATGACAACCTTTTCTTTAGCTCTTAATTTTTGAAAATGCTATAACAGTAAACCTTATTGTAAGATCTAAATGTTGAAAATGTTAGACTAATATTCAAATTTATGCTTATAAATATTGACATATATTGTAAAAGTCCTGCTTTTGAAAAACAATTGTTATTCCTCTTGACTGGTTGGGAAAAAAAAAACAGATGGTACAAAGCATTTTTGGCTGCTATTGTAAAGAAACTAACCTCCTCGAAAATTCAATTATTTTGACCAAAAGCCAAGAAGCTGAATTACCTGGTTGAGTTGGTGACAAAAGGAAAACTTAAACCTGTAATCGACTTGGCTCAAGAGCTTCACGTTCTTATATATACATATAGATCTATCGTAACCCTATTTTTAAAACTATTCTACAACTGTTGTCTTATTTTTGTTTTTCTAAGAGAGCTATACAAGTAGTGGTTTTTTTTATTAACCTGAATATTTAACCCGCTATGCGAGCCGACTAATCCCATGGCGACTACCTATTTTGCAGATAGCCCGAAGTCACCGCATTTGAACATTCGTAGCCACAAGGGGATTTTTATTTCTCATTGGATTTGAATCTGGGACCTCCAGGTACTTTTGACCTTTAGAGCCAAGCTCAAACCAATCAGACACCACCCTTGTGGTTACAATTAGTGTTTTTTATGAAAAAAAAATAAAAATAAAAAACTTTAAAATTACACATAATCATTTTAACCATGGTGTCTAGACCAACTTGCTTGCACCTCAATTAGTTTCAAGAGTCTTGGAAAAATTAGAACCAACGAGTATGAGGAAGATTCCCATAACATCATCTACTAATCATCTTCACACAAGGAAATATGTTTTTTCACAACATTAACGTCAATATGCTTTTTACTCTATCTCACATTCAACATAAAATGTAAAATAGATCAACATATATATATATATATATATATATATATATTATTTGGTAAAAACCTATTTGTATTAAGTATTTATTCAAAATTTACACTCAGCTACATTGTATGGGTATACAACTAGCATCGGGATGGACACAAAAAAATAGAAAAAAATGACACATGATTCAAAGACGGACCTATAAATTTTTTCAAGTTGTGGCACCATTTGACTATAAGAAATAAATATATGTATATTTTCCACAAAATCATTATTAGTCTGTTGGTTAGTTCATTGCTTTTCATAAATGAGATGTTGGGTTCAAGTCTTTTATTGCAAATTCTTTTAAAAAACATAATAAATCTAAAATTAAGAGCTAAAAACTAAAAAAAAATGAAAGTAACAAGATTCGACTGAAAAATGATCGCGCCAGGTAGGGGTCGAACCTACGACTTTCTGCTTAGGAAACAGACGCTCTATCCACTGAGCTACAGGCGCTTTTGTTTGTTATTGTATTGAAATCAATTCATATGAATGAATTGAAGTAATCCAATCTGTTTCAATTTCCGATAAAAAGGCGGCAAATTCATGAAATTGAAGATCCAAGGAATTTGAGGTCATGGAGGATTCGATTACGCAATTTCGCGACGGCATAGCTCGATTCTGCACCCACCTTGAATCCAGTTCCGCCGCTCTCCTCCAGTCCATCAACCGCCTTCCCATCCCTTTCGGTAACATTGACGCATTTGCTCGATTTTCTCTATAATAGTTGTTACTTTAGATCTAAATGTTTTGATGATGTGAATACGTTACTAGATTCTGCTTCGTTGTCGTTCGTGCAATGCCTGAACCGTCGTGTATCCACTGCCACCAGTGATCTCAACCTCTTAGAGTCGATGACTTCCGATACGGTGTCGTTTGAGGAGTTGCTTGGTCACTGCAATGAGGTTTTCAAGAAGAATCAGAATGATATTGTTGAGCTCGAGGATCGCCTTTCTGTCTTCGGATATGTTCCTGGTACTAATTTTAATTTGATTTCATAGTGCTGCAAAATCTGTTGTTTCTAGAAGAACTACACATGAAAAACAGTCTAATTCAGTTCATATGAATTCTAACGATTTTAATGCTATATTTCTCTTCTTTCTATAAAATTATAATGCTAATCTTTACTGTAGACAGAGTGACTACAGTGTCAGCCAGCCTTGAACGTTTGCTTAAGCATATATCTGTTTCTTTATTTATGGTTGCTGAAGTTATTAATCTAGCACTACTTCTGTAGAGGCGGAGATTGATGAATCTGAAGAGGACTGGAATGAATCACAACCTAATACTAGTTTGGATTTAAAGAACCCAATGGAAGATGACTCTTTGTATCCTTTCTTTGTTTGAAATTTCTACCCTGCATATAGGTTGGTGCCAGAGGAGGTGAATAAATAGTGTGATTTAGATAGGAAAAGGATTGCGTCGATTGGTTGTGATTCTTTGCTCTGGGGGTCTTCTCTTTACATTTATAAATTTCATATGATGTTAACTATTTATATTTACATATCTTGATGATTTAAGATATTGCATTGAAGAAACCTCCAACTTCCAGTCATGAAATTCATTTGCTGGTGCAAGTCATGTCTGTCATAATGGTTCAAGTGTGTGATATCATTACATTTCTTAACTGTAATTAGATTTGATGATACATTGAGCTTGCAGAATCTTGGGATTTCTGATGCCTCTCTTGCCACTATTGTATCCGAAGGTTAGCTGATTCGATTAACCAAGATCAGTGATTTCTTTGATTCATATGTTTTAGGACCATTTGAAAGAATGATGATTGAAAGGCTTTTACTTGATTGATACAACTTATACAATAATATGGCCATGGTGTGTGGAAATTAGTCAGGGCCATGTTAAATATGAATTTTTGAACATGGCCTTATAAAATTTTGGGGTCTAAATTTACTTGTGTTTAGGATCTGATTTATATTGACCTCTAAACCAACCTCAATGAAGACCTGTCTAATTTCTTTTAAAATCGAAAGTGGCTATTTAGTTTCAGAATTTGCCGATAAAAACAAAAACGACTTTTCGGTATTTTTCTCACTTTGATATTTCAAACATTTTTATTGTTTTAATTTGTAAGATTTTTAATATGGCATGTACTTTTATATTTTATTTTATTTATTACTCCTTTCACTATCTATAGTTTTAGTAAAGGTGATAGTGCCTCTTTGGGATGACCCTGAAATTAATCTTCTAATAAAAGGACGATTAGGGCATGTTCTGCTGGAGCCTGTTTGCTTAATCTGCAGTTTCCAGTTACAGCAATCTGCATGTTCATATCTGAGTATACTTCTGTATCTTCATCTCCAACTACAGGCAACAACAAGATGGAGTTACAGGGACTATCTGAACCAGCCACAGATATCTCAGAAATAGAAAGTGAATACCTGTGTGCAGCTCTCTTTTTTGTTTTCTTCTTCTTCTTTCTCCTCTAATTTCTAACACGAGCGATGCCATTTTGTCATGTGAATAGAGGATGACCGAAATGAGTTGAAAGCATTTGAAGGTTCCCAATCTTTAATAGACGTACCTAAAGATGTTTATGAAAGTCTTCCTTCATATATGAAAAGTTTAGCATCTTGGGAGGTAATTATCCGTTTCAAACTTGGGTACAATGCATTTTTCACACGGGTCACCGCTTCATCATTCCGTTGCAAGTGAAAAAAGTTACGTTTCTGAAGGGCACCGTATTGTTTTGTGCAACCATATAGTTTTTAAAACTGAAATGTTAACACTTTAATAGGGTGAATGCTCCTGCCTTTTTACAAAAGACCCAGGTTCGACAATTGTCAAATTTGTTGTTTTTCGGTTTAAATTTTGGTGTTTTTTATATACCTCTTGTGTTTTTTAAAATATACGTAAACGGACTCGAACATGGGCTTTTCTACTAAAGACGGACCAACCAATAGATCTATACTAACATTGTGAAAAAAATAAATAAAAAATTTATAGTCAAATTGTTTCACCACTTCTACTTCTGATAATGCAATCAGATTCTGATATACACAATTGAAGGAGATTATAGATACTGATTATGCACTTTTACAGGATATGCTTGCTGCTGTTGAGAAAATGAACTTGAGACTCAAACAGAAAATCAGGAATCGCAATTTCTTCACCCAAGATGAAGTTTCATCATTGGAATTAGGTAAGCATACTCTCTGGTGTCAACTGCCGATTAGGCTTGTAAACCTATCCAAATTGTCATAACTTACAAAAAGAAAATCATCACATCATCCCAAAACCACTATGAGAATATATGAAATTCATTAGATTACTCTCTAAAATAACCCTTGAAGAGAGAAGTGAGGTTCAAACATATATTGAGGGTCTTGTTGATGTGAGACTCCGACATGCCCTCCAACGGAGGCGTAGATTGTCCCAGAGTATCGGTAGAGGCTAATAACATATGTAAGTACGTGGAACATTGCTAGATTACTTGCCAAAAGAACCCTTATGGTGCATTTGGTATCTAGACAGGATAAAACAGGACAAATAGCCGTTCAGTGTTAGGTAAGACAGATTTGGACGAGTCCAAAACAGATAATTATGTAATTTAATAAATTTTAATAAAATAAATATTTTTTTATAACAAAATATATCATTAGAAAGTTGTCAAGACGATAAAATGACACCAAATAAAAAGTTTATGTAGTTTCCGATTTTTATTTTATACATTTTATGTATTATTTTTTATTATTAATATTTAATAAACTACATTAATTAACCAAAATATAGGAACCTATAAAAATAATATTTTGAGAACAGTAAGGTGAAAATTTACAGAGTATAAAATACAATAAATAAAATTTAAAGAAGGAAACATATTTGATTTTGTAGAAAAGAATTAGATTATATTTTTAAGATTATATTGATAAAATATAGGTCTATTCCACTCCACCTTGTTCCATGCCACACAAAAATCCTGCCAAACTGTTTTATTCGGTGTACCAAACTGTCTTATCCAGTGTACCAAACTGTCTTATCCAATGTACCAAACACACCCTTAAAGAGAGAAGGGAGGTTACAACATATAATATCCAAAAGAAGTCTTAGATTGTAAGAGTCCTCACCATGAGCATGGGATAATGACTACTAGGCAATGAATTGGACCTTTCCTTTGCGTATGCATAAAGTTTTTTCCTGTTTGGGTAGAATTCTTTGACTGCAGCCTTTGTCAAGTAGTTCATAAAGACTTTGTATTGGCACCGTGAGCAGTAAGTAGTTCTTAAAGACTTCGTAT